CCTCTGTGTACGATGGTAGCTATGCCTTCAGCCACTATGCCCTTATCCTCTTGTACTCCCAGCCTCCATCCCCTCTTTACCTTTAAACCTTATCTTAAGACCTTCTTCTTCCACCATGTGTATGGTCACGTCTCCCTTCCCCCTTTCTTGGCGTCCAATCCTACAAGTGTGGGGTTCTCCAAGACACTATCTCGCTTAAAGAGCGCTACGTAAATGCACGTTGTTGTTGTAATATGGTCATTAGGTTGCAATTTGTCCCCAAGGGAGACAGCAAGATGAAGGGACTGAGGGATGGAGTTCCAAAGGATGGGGCGGGCTGGATGGGGGATGTAGAGTAGGCTGCTGAGCGGAGGGAGCAGGCAGAGGTAAGAAGGAGCGAGGCAATGGAGGGCCTTGAAGACTAGAACGAGGATTTTGAACTCTATCCCCTGGGGTACAAGGGAGCCAGTGGCGGAGCCGGGCGATGTTGCAAAGGAGGGGGAAAGGCAGGACAGGTCATGGCAAAGATGTGGGGTGGGAAGGTCAGTTGAGAGTCAAAGAAGACAACAACAACCACCACAACAAGATTACATTTGTATAGAGGCTTTCGCGTCGGGAGGACGTCCCAAGACGCTGGACAGTGTACAGCATTTCAGACCCGAGCTGGGGTAGGGGGGTGGGGGGGAAGGAGGGGAGCGGAAGGGGGTGGCCGATGGCACATGGTCGAAGAGGAGGGTCTTGAGGCGGGACTTGAAGGAGGCTAAGACGCCAACATTCTGGAGTGGCCTGAGGTTTGGAGGCGCTGACGGGAGCCGATCAGGAGGGTCTCGGTCTCGGTCATGTTGACATTCAACTGGAGAAAGTTAGTTCTCGTCCAGGACTTAATGCCTGACAGACATTCTGTCAGCACAGCAGATAAAGGAAGCATTATTGAAATTATAATTGTATTATAATGATGGAATCCCATTAGTTATTCAAATTATATTATAATAGCGTAATTATATTGATTAGTACAATTATATTACTATTATGGAGTATCTGTGATGCATTGGTTAGAGTGCTCGCCTCGCTTGCCTCAAAACACTTCAGGATGTACTGTAAAGTGTAGTGACTGAGTGCAGTATTTTGTGGGTGACATTTTTTGCATGTAGTCCCTCCAATTTGGAATTGAAAATGGATACTGAAGGTGCTGACTTATTGCAGAGGTCTGATGGAAAACCGTACTTCCTTTTGCCATTTGAAACTGGCCTAGAGAGGTTCGCAACATGTCAATGTACAGTCGGCTTATCTGTCATTTTGCTTTTAGTACTCTGGCTCTCTGTTATCTTCTAATGGCCCAAATTCAATCATTTCGATGAGATTCAATAATGGCCCCTTTGTGCTCCACATGATCTACACCCTCCGAACCCCTTTATGATTCCAGAGCTAATTTTTACGCACCGAGTTCCCATTGAAAAAGATAGTCCAGCGGAGCCGGAGCCATGCATCAGCGTCAACATCACTGAGGCGGATGCAAAAGCTGTGTATTTTACGCAAGCTTTAAAGGTTAAAAGCCCTTTAGACTTTCAATCGATTTCCGCTGACTGAAAGCAGCTGACGTTCCCCTGTCAGCTGTTTCTTATCATTCAAAGTGTCACCAACCCCCCGAAGACCTGACTGTAGTCTGTGCGTACTTTGAAGTTCGTGTGAACAGGCAAAGCCTGTGCCCCGCTCAACCTTAGAGTGAATAGGCCGTTGCTTTACTCCACTATGCGCTCCAGAACGCTATACCCCCGGGTGAAGGGCGCTATATAAATGCGAGTTCTTGTTGTTGTTTATTCCACTGCTCGGAGCTGAAGCCAAAGGTGAGGGAGACAACATTGCAGTTGATGGCAATTCTACCCTCAACTGGCAGTTCCAGGAAACGCAGGGCGCCACATGGAGCGATCAGCAACAGGAAAACCTGGCCGATTTCCTTCCTCCCTCCCTCCCGAGGTGGGGAAGGAAGCGGCAAGGCGGAAAAATAAAGGAAGAGTGTTCCGGAGTTTCGGGGCGCAGCGGCTGAAAGCCCGGCCACTGACGGTGGACCGGTGGGCTCGATCCGTTCGGCAATAGGGCGTCAGTCTGGAACCTGGCTAGAACCGGCAAAGACAACAACAACAACAACAACAAGATTCCATTTATAAAGCGCCTTTCACGTCAGGAGGACGTCCCAAGGCGCTGAACAGTTGGGTCATGACCCGAGCAGGGGGGAAATGGTCAGGGTGAGGGGAGGGAAGGGAGGGAGCGAGGAGGGGGTAGAGAGTCGAGAGGGGAGCTGAAGGCTCGGTCAAAGAGAAAGGTTTTGAGACCGGCCTTGAAGGAGGAAAGGGAGGAAGCGGCGAAGGCACTGGGGATAGAGTTCCAGAGCCTCGGGGCTGAGAGGCTGAAGGCCCGACCACCGATGGTAGGGCGATTGGGGCGGGGGACGTGGGGGAAAGAGTTTCTCACCAGCAAACGAAGACGTCTCCACCACTCGCTTCGCGCGCAGAAACAGCCTCTTTGATCGCAGAGCGTGAACCGTTATTGGTTTGCATTTGCCTCCCTTTTGAATGCAGTGATGTAAATTGATTTCCTGATGTATTAATCGCTTTGTTGCGGTCTCAGCAACTGCGCTGCAGAGTTATCCGCTTCACGGTCACACACATTCCACAGCCAGCTACACCAGTGACTCACTCGGGGTAGCATGACTGATGTCGCCTCCGAAAAAGATCAAAGCAGTGCTAAGTTGGCAGATCGATTCGAAAATCTGCCTGTATTCAGCGAGTGTCGATATTATTAACCTTTCCCGGGAGGTGAAACCTCTCACTTCCGAGTTGCAAGCTGCGGGTTTCAAAGCGGGCGTCTCCTCTTCTCTTTCACGACCTTTACCTCTCTCTGACTTTGTGTGCGCGTGTGTCTCCCGACTCCCTCTTTCTAACTTTGTTCTCTCTCTTTATGCTCCACTTTTACACGGGAGCCCTGATGCGGGTAGATATGTGGAAAGTTGTGGTGGGATGACGCAGCGTGCTCACTGCATATGTCCTAAACCGGGCGATGCTTGGTGATATTGATTTGCAAATTAGATTGAATTTTGCAAATAATAATAATAATAATAATAATAATCCTTGCATTTGATATAGCGCTTTTCACGTCGGGAGGACGTCCCAAAGCGCTTCACAGAACACACTGTAAAGTGAATTGACTGTATATTTGTGGGCAAACGCGGCAGCCAATTGCGCACAGCAATGTCCCACAAACAGTCGTAGATTGAAAATGACCAATTTATTATTGTTTTTGGTTTTGGAGGGATTATTATTAGGCTCTGTGTGGAGTGAGGAAACTTGCCCAAGGTTTCGCCCTCTGCCTGGAATTGAACTCAGGTCTCTCGCTTGCAAAGCGAGTGCTCTAACCACTGAGCTACAGGACTCCAAATACCGAACTCCGGAACTCCGCTCGGGCAATGTTTTCCTACCAGGCGCTGGAAACATTCTTTGGCCGCAAGCCAGAAAGGTGGCACATTTGAGTGGTTGTTGAGGACTGTTTCTACCGGAAGAGTGGGGTTCAGGTACTATCATCCTGCAAATCCCTTTACAAATCTCGCATTTTAAACTTCCCATTGCAATTATATATCTTTCTTTTTCAGGCAACCAGGGAAACCCATCACCGTGCTCAAGGGTATTTGCCAATCAAACCGAGAGTTTCGTGCATTCCCACCCGCTCGTGGAAATGCCAGACATGGCTATTGGAATGGAATGTGCCCTCTGTCCCTGGGGGGGGGGGCATCTTGCTTACCTAATTCCAGAGGGTATTAGGCGCAAGTTGGCGACAGCCAAGGTTTAGGGATCCCAGAGTCTGCGTTGGATGACTGCTGGAGTCTAACCAGCTGGAACTGCACGGCTTCCCACTCAAAGCGCTCTCTGGCCAAGCTTTCCCGCTGCTTGTCCAGCTTGGACCACCGTACCTGTTAGGGCGTTGGGGCTTGCGGGGTTAACAAGAGCTGAGTGGGAAGGGAAGAGTTTTTGGTCCTAGCGACTGATCTGCCCTTTCAGGTCCTGCCGATGAGCCGGGCTTTGCTGGAGTCAGCAGTGAGTGCCCTGGAATACTGCGGCCCGTCCTGGCTCAGGAACCCAAGGAGAATAATCACCAGTTGGCCATTTGACATCTGAGCTCTCTCTAGTTGGATGGCAGGTGCCAGGAGCTGTCCCTACAACCAACACCCCCCTCAAACCCGCACGCCCGGCCCCCCCAAACACACACCCCCACAAGACCCCTAAGCCTCAGAGTTTCCTCATCAGCTACTTGGTGGGCATCTGCCTTCAGTGTGGTGGGAGGACCCTTGACAGGACAGCTTGTCGGGTTGCCAGCCATCTTGATGTTTCTCGAGGCGTAATAAATCAACGAAGCAAATCTCTCTCCGGCTGGGCTGTGAGTTATCTTTGAAGAACTGCCCTTCTTTTGGTTTCTGCTGGCTCACCTTGGTCACGGAGATCTGATGCAGGTCACCCTTTGAATCACCCGCTTCTTAAAACAAAAAAAAAGAGAAATTAATTGCGTTCAGTCCGGTTGGGGAAACTTCCCGATGTGTGACACAGCAATTAGCTCTGCAGAGACCACAAACTTGGGGTGAATTAGAATAAGGTAATAGAATGTTATTTCAATGGGCACCAGGACAGTTTTGCTGACGTCTGAAAGGACGCAACGAGAAATTAAAATGAGACTGGGAATCGTCTAATCTCCACAGTATAAATAGAGGCTCACATGAATGTGCTGGATGCCTGTGTCAATCAGCACACGGTCTGAGTTCCAGCTGTTGCACCTCAAGCCAAAGGCACAGTGAGTGAGTGATTGAGTGAGTCAGTGAGTGAGTGCGTGAGCGAGCGAGCGAGCGAATCAGTGAGCGAGCGAATCAGTGAGCGAGGCAGTGCGCGAGCGAGCGAGCGAGTGATTGAGTGTGTGAGTGAGCGAACGAGCAAGCGAGTCAGTGAGCGAGCGAGCGAGTGAGTGACCCTCGTCTGAGCATCATGGAATTCAGTCAGCCGCAGCTCCTCACCTCGGGGGGGGACAGTGCCTGCTGCGGGAAGAAACTGGGGACCCTCTGCCTGAACGGCTTCAGCCAAGCTAACCAAGACCCAGCGCAGTGGAGGGATGGGGAGGAGAAAGGGGCAGCTGGGGCAGGTCAGCTGCCCACCTTGGAGGCAGCCTACGCCAGCATCCTGAGAGGCTTGGGGGAGAACCTGGAGAGGGAAGGGCTGCTGAAGACTCCGGGAAGAGCCGCCAAAGCCATGCAGTTCTTCACCAAGGGATATCAGGAAAGCATCGAGGGTAAAAGTGACGTTTATTACCTGATTTATTTTGCACTGACACTGACGCACACTGTGACCACACACACGCACTCACACACTGACATTCACACACACTGTGACCACACACGCGCACACACACACTGATGCACACTGTGACCACCCACACACGCACACTGACACTCACACATACTGTGACCACACACACACAAACACTGAAGCACACTGTGACTACCCACACACACACACACAATTTGACCATACACACACACACACTGACCACACACCGACCTACACTGTGACCAGACACACACACTGACACTCACACACACTGTGACCACACACACACACTGACACTCACACACACAGTGTGACCACACATACACTGACACTCAAACACATTGTGGCACACACATATACACACGCACACATTGTGAGACACACACAGGCACTGATATACGCGCACACACACTGACACACACACATTGTGACACCCACACACTGTGACCTCCCTTGATAGATACCTGTCCTGTGCCTGACCCATTGCCCTGAGATGTTTTTTTTGTTGTTGTTGCATTTTCTCGCATCCTTTCCGACTCAGCTTTGAAACAGGAGGAAGGGAATGAACGGGGAGATAGATCTAAGTGCAAGGCGTCTGTCTGTCTCGGTCACTGTGCTGTGCAACTAACATAGCGAAGCATTCAACCAGCAGACAGACACGCCCGGACACAGCAGAGATTTATCTCTCTAGATACATTCTGATCCAATGAACTGTCAACGTGGACAACAGGTAGCTCGCAAACACTGCAGAGGAAATTTAGGCGATTGTCAGGAGAGCTGGAGTCGAGGTTGATGAGAGGAATAGATTCTTTGGATTAAAAAATGAGCGCCCGAGTAAATTTTTCCTGTCTGCTTTGTTTGGTTTGCTGGCACGTGCACAGTCACTACACTGGACAACAGCTAACTGCGGTGTCTCAGCGTCGGGTTCGCCAACAAGCACACAGTTCCTACACTTGGTGGAAAACTGTGAAGGGGTTTTGAGATGGTTCGATATGATGAGATACTGTACCAAGTGTAAGGAGTAGTATAGATAGACAGGATACCAAATATAAGGATTACTGTTACATGGTGCGACATCAAATGTAAGGATTATTATTATAAGGCACTATATCAAATGATTATTATTATTATGGCCATAATTCTGACCTGGTGGTTAGCAGCTTTTAAACACTGACAGTTGATATAACTGTGAGTCCAAATGTTTGAGTGGAACAGTGATGCTGTAAAACACTTAACACTCTTCGATGGCCAGGAGAGGTTTACCCAGTATTGTTTCTCAGTAATAGAACCATGCACGCAACGATCATGAAGAGTAGAGTATTATTATTATTATTATTTTCCAGCATCTGGAACCAGTGGCATTTTGTCACGTAAGCTCCAGGAACTGAATGAAAGAGTTAAGTTCGTGTATTTTTCAAGGGAGGAAATACTGCTGATAGGATCAGTGCCAGGGTTTGGAGACGGTAGTCCAAGAAGAAATTTCACCTGACGTAGAGCTGCAAATGCATTTTGTCCCCATCAGAAAAAAGAATTAAGAATTAATGTACGAATGCCACGTTCGTACATTTAGTTCTTCTTTTCTAAGTTAGTCTCCCGCAGCTCTGAAAAAGAAAAAAAGATTTCTGAATTAAACTGGACTTCCGCAATTCTGTGCAATCTCAAATTTGAAGGTGGGCTAAGACCAGGTGGAACTTCAGATCTGTGGTGTATAACACATAGTTACATCTATAGCAGAGAAGACATTCTTTACGATATGTAGTTCGCAGCCTAACAGCACGGAAAGCTAATTGTAGTGAGAGGAATATGCAGTTAGATTCAATAAACACGGTTTGTGGTTGTCGAATCTGACTGCACGATAGCATCTGGAAGGGAATTGGATAGGTATTTGTGCAGAGAAGGTAACAAAAGAATCATCGGAGGGTTTGGAGAAAGAGCGGGGGAACGGGATTAGAACAGATAACTCTACTGTTACTGCTGCAACAATACTTTGCGCTTATATCACGCCTTGCACGGAGAAGGAAAAACACACCTCAAAGCAAATTTACAAAGAGAAGAGTCAGACTACATTAAACACAGCACAAATTTACATTTGATATAGCGGTAGAGGTAGAGGTGGAGAGTTCCAGAGGACAGGGGCAAAGTGGCTGAATATTCACCCAACAATGGTGGGATGGAGCAGGTGAGGCCATGAAATAGCTATCAGGAAAGAGCGGACAGAGGTCTCTGTAGAAGAGACAATTGAAAAGGGACCTAACGGTGGTGTTTAAAAGCCGGGTGTTGATAGACTATTTCCAATTGTCAATGGTAATAATAGGTAATAATCCTTGCATTTGATATAGCGCCTTATCACGTCTTCTAGACGTCTCAGTGCTTAAGTGCTTATAAGTGCTTAACACAGTCGGACGCCGGTTATAACACAAGGGTCACATTTTAAAATCGCTGCTGGTCAGTTCTTCTGAGTTGTCAGGAAGGGCACTGCTGATGTCGCAAATCTGCACTGTACTTGCGCGGCACGTTCAGGAAGCCAGTCAGTCAGTACCAGAAGCCAGGAATGGACCATAATTACAATGCACTCTATATATATATATACACACACACCCGCACAGGAGTTCCCCCATTTTAAGTAAGAGGGATGCAACATGAGGAGTATTATGTCAGGCTTTGAGCTCATAGCCCAGGCTGACAACCCACGCAGTATTGGAGGGGTGAGTTGCCTTGTCAGAGATTTGTTCCTTCAGTTGAGACGGTGCAAACCAAGTTCCCGTCCGCCAGGTGGATATTGAAGATGCCATGGAACTATTCCAAAAGAGCAGGCACTTTCCTCCAGTGTTGTAACGCTTTTATCATTCACCTCAAGGTTGATGGTGGGACCTTGCCTTGCACAAATTGATGTGTAGTTCAGCCACTATATTTGACAGCAATTATCTATGAAGCACTTTGAGACGCATTAAACTGAATGACGCGATAACAAATTCATTAATGATTATTATATTCCTATTAACACTGCATGTACCCCCGCCCTCTCCACCCACCGTCAGTAGCTAAGCTGCCAGCCACAGCGCCCCTCCTCTCGAACTCTCTCCCAACTCGCTCCTTCTGCCACACCTTCCCTCTGCTTACAGTTGAAGAAAGACGCCTCTTCAACTGGATTTTAAGTAACATTCCTCCAATTCCTTCCCCTCTCCGCCCCCGCCCCCTCCCCCTCCCCATATACGACCTTGCTCAGCTTTTCACCCTGGGTCTAGTGAAGCTCTTAAAGATATAAGATATATTCCCATATGTAACGCATTAAAAAAGTGTAAATTATAGTTGGACATTGCAAACAGAATGCTCACTAATTGTTATTACATTTGCTTCATTGAATGATTTATTCAAATAGCCTAACTGTGTCACATCACACAGTATTAACTGTGTATGAAAAGGGTTCTTATCTCAGAGGAGCTGTTTGCCTACACCTTCCTTACCGAAGTTCTTCTCCATCACATTCGAAATTGCTTTTGGTTCGGTTTGCGTTCGAGACCTAATTTATTATGATGGGCTGCAAATGTTGTCTTCCTGACTTAGTAGAACATCAAAATCCTCCGGAACTGCAGAAACTAAGGGACGAATTAGCTTTTGTGAGATCACAAGAGATGTTTGAATGAAGAAAGAGAACGTTTGACCAATATACCAATCCATCCATTTTACCATAAAACAACCAGTTATCTCTTAAAAAGGTTTATTGTCCTGGTCCCAACTATCCATATGGAACCAGCTGTTGCTAACCCTCTTTGCTAATAGATACTGACGTCTGCCTTAAACTTCCCCTATATCTTTGCCGAGTATCTTCATCCCTCTTGTGCAACGCTATTAGTTTCAGATCCAAAAATCCTCCTCTTGTATTTCAGATGTTCTTCATAACGCTGTCTTCAATGAAGACCATGATGAAGTCGTCATTGTGAAAGATATTGATATGTTTTCGCTTTGCGAGCACCACTTAATTCCATTCTATGGCAAGGTTAGTAGATTTTACATAACAAATTTTAAGCACTTGCAAGCAGAAGTTGGTTCGATTCGCATAGGGTTGGCAATAAATTGGAAAATACAAAAGTGATGTTGAAGTATACAGATAAATTCCTTTTTTTTTACCTGCAATTTCTGCACTCAGTTTTATCTTAAAACTGCAAAGCAGTGTTAAAATGTAGAAGTATTATCTAGTCTTACGACATTTGTTTCTCAATTACAGGTGCATATAGGTTACCTACCCAACAAAAAGGTAGTTGGACTAAGCAAACTAGCAAGGTACGTAAGTAAGCAATTTAAGTTTGTAGGTTAATGACAATGGATGTCGTAATCTAAATGCACCTCAATCTTAAAATGGTCTTCACTGGAACAGAAAATGTGAACCCTAAACATGACAAGCCATGACCAGGAATTAAAGTCAAAAATAATGATTGACCATTCACTGAATGTTCCCAGGACTTTGACCCTAAACAGCTGCATTTCACTGAGTATTATTATTATTGTTGTTGTATATCTACATAGGCCCAGCATCACGGGCAGCCTTGGTTTTCAAAAGAGATCTATATTGATGACTACAAAATGGACTTATCGCTTTCCCAAGTGCAGGGATAATTGGAGATATTTTAGTTTCTGAAAAGTTCGGTTTCATTTGCCCCCTCTTCCCAACACAACTGAAAAAAAAGGTGATTTCCAGTCTCACTCTGCCTGTCTTTTCTCTCATCAAAGGTTTCGGATAACTGAGTGATCTGATTGCATCTATTTCAGTGTGACTTTCCTGTGACAGCCGTGAGATCGATATAGTTATTGTAATGTTGGTAAGACTTGGAGAAATAAGAGAATAATCATAAGATTGTAAAGCAAAGAAAAAAAAAGTCAGTTGGCCCAGACAATAGTCCTTATAAATCCCATGGAAAAATAGCATTAAAAATAAAGGGCATACGTGATGAGTTACAAATCTCTGAGGTGCAATAAGGTGAATTTACAGCAATGGATTTTTTTCTAGACTGTCTCATGTTATCTTCTCAACCTTTAAATACACACAGTGTTGGAAAGGTCAACATTTAGCAGATTAGATTAATAGCCCGAGTTACCCTGGACACGACTATTGTTTCGTGTGGGCAAATATCCAATCACCGGCAAATTTACGGCCTTTTGGCAGCCAAGAAAATGTAAATTTGTGAATCTTAGTCTACTTACTAATTTACAAGGGGGAAATCTCACTCTCTGTGTCCACCTTTATCTCTTCAGTTTGTTCTCAATAACCATGTATTGCCTTCAAACCACCCGCCCCACCACCCTGTAAATATAAAATATAAAACAGCAATAAATGTTTAGTTTGCTACAATTGTCGAAAATCAGATCTACTGTGAATACACCGCTGGTAACTTTCTTTCTACGTAGAGGAAGAGAGCGAGAGGATTTTGGCATAATAATAATAATAATCCTTGCATTTGATATAGAGCTTTTCGCGTCTTCTAGACGTCCCAAAGCGCTTCACAGAATATACAGCAAAGTGAATTGACTGTATATTTGTGGGCGAACGCGGCAGCCAATTGCGCACAGCAGCGTCCCCGCAAATAGTCATGGATTGAAAATGATCGATTTTGACATAACCCTCTCGGGGGCATGAAGCAAAACAGACTGAAACTTGCCAGAAGAAACAGCCAAATAATTCACTTAAACTTTTTTTCATTGAAAATGAAGAGGCAAATGATTCTTAGAAAATAAACTAACCTTGCCACATCAGATTTTTACTTAAAAAGTAATTTAGTGTCTTGTCTGTTCGTAGTGGTGTACAATTACCAGGCATACACCATTTAACTACCCCAGAAGCATGTACGAGACTTTCGAACTCTGAGCTGGAAATTGATCCACAATTTTTAGTAGGTTTACACAAGTCCTTTAACCCCATGTTACTGTACTGTGTATAATAACGACACCATCAGCAATTGCATTGACGTTGATGAAGGAAGTGCACATTTGGAGGAATACGAAACAACTGGCAAAACTGACTGGGAGCCTGAGCAGGATGGTGGGGGGGGGGTGGGTGGGGGGGGGTGCAGTGGGGTGGGCAAAGATGAGGAGAAAGACAGCTGATAGCATGGTTGAACAGGTTGGTCTTAAGGTGGGTTTTTGAGGGTGGAGAGGGAGGGAGGGGACAGGGCAGAGGGATTCCAGGATGGAGTTTCAGAGAGTGTGGGCACAGCGTCTGAAACCTCACCCATTGGTGGGGTGTGATAACAGGTAAGTAGAGTCTGATGCAGGAGAGGACATGAGTTGCAGAGTTTCGGATGGTCTGCAGCTTCTGTAGTGAGGAGTTGGGGAATCTGGCAAGCAAGGCGCTGGAATATTATGAATGAAATGTTGTGCTTGTGGTTGAATTTAATGGCATAAGACAGCAGCAAAGTTAGACTGCAGTAAGGGAATGCAATTTCCTTGGGGCAATATTTTTAATGAGTGACTTGACCAAATGTTTTAATGAAGTAGATAAGGCTGTAAAAAAAGCAAATGGGATTCTAGGCTTTATAAATAGGGGCATAGAGTACAAGAGTCAGGAGGTTATGATATAAAACACTGGTTAGGCTTCAGTTAGAATACTGTGCCCAGTTCTGGGCACCGCACTATAGGATGTTAAAGCATTGGAAAGGGCGCAGAGGAGATTTACGAGGGTGGTACCAGGAATGAGGGACCTTGATTATGAGGAAAGGCTGGAGAGGTTAGGATTAGTCTCATTGGAGCAGAGAAGGTGACGAGAACTTAATAGAGGTCTTCAAAATCATGAGGGGATTTGATAGGTTGGAAAGCGAAAAACTCTTTCCACTGGTGGGTGTGTCGGTGACTCGAGGTCACAGATTCAAAATAGTCTCTAACAGAAGCCGAGGGGAGGCGAGAAGACATTTTTTCACGCAGCGAGTTTTCGAATCTGGAACGCACTGCCTGAAAGGGCGGTCGAGGTCGATTCGATAACTACTTTTAAAAACGCAGTGGATAGGTATTTGAGAAGGACAGGTTTGCAGGGTTATGGGAAAGGGCTGGGGAGTGGGATTGACATTGCATTGCTCTTTTCGAAGAGCCGCACCAGACTCGATGGCCTCTTTTTGTGCTGTACAATTCTATGATTCTATGATTCTATGAAGGAAATGCTTTTGATTAGCACATGACTGATTTTCTCAGCTTCTAAGAAACAATACAGGTCACTAAATTGGTTTGGAATTGCTTGCATACTCTACGTTGAAACCATATAACATTTCTGAGACTCCCACTCTAATTCAGTCAAGTTTTTACAACCTCGTGACTGAACCAGAAACCACATTTGATGCTAATTTGATGTACTTTGAAATGTCAGTCGTGGCGTTTTCTCAGCTGACGCCAACGCCTTGCAGATTAAGAAAACAAATTTATTCTTGCACGACCACACATCCTTCACGTGTCAAAACAAGTAGCCACGTTCACGGTTAAAACAGCTTCCATTATAATAATAATTATATAACAATAATAATGTTTTCTTGGAAACATAAAGCATATTGTTCAGCCATGTCTAGAAAGAAAGCGATTGTTTGCCACAGAGTGACAAAGAAACATCTTATATTCTTGTTTGTGCCGCTGTATGTCATAGGAAATACACTACTGTGTTTTCTCCACGAGCATTTGAGATTTGCCGTGCACTTGAATGTGTGAAGCATAACACTTGGTTTCTGCTCCGAGAGCCATAAAAGGAACAATCTATTAGGATGTCGTCGTTGTTTCTTGAGGAGGGTTACGCTATAACCTATTTAATTCCCTACCTCCCCGACCTCTTAATTCCCATATCAGCCTGTCCACATCCTCTGCTCGGCTTGCTTCAGGTCCCTCCGGCCCCACCATTGGCAGTCAGGCATTCATCATCTCTGCCCCCACTCTGGAACTCTATCCCGCAATCCCTCTGCCTCACCCCCTCTCTTGCCTCCTTCGAACCCCGTCTAAAGACCGTCCTCTTCGACCGTGCCGCAACTCCCAGCTCAAGTCCAAAAAACCCGACTGTCCGGTGCCCTGGGACGTCTTTCCGACGTGACGGGTGCTACACAAGTGTAATTTGTTGTTGCTATTGTTAAAAAGTCTCCTAATTTCTCTCATCCTTTCTTGAAAGCATTTCAGCCCTTTTTTTTTTATTTCTAATTGTATGTAGCACAAGTACCTCTCCAAACTGGCCATCATCCACGTGTGACAAACATAAGCACTGGATATTGAATTCAAACACACAGGAGAATGTGTCTGTGGATTGAGATTAGGGATAAACCCCGTTTTATATTCTCCTCCCTCCCTTGGAGCGCGAAGGCCAATTGCAGCATTTACGCTGAGATCAGCAAAATTAGCAGCGATGAGGATTTTAACCAGTGACTGTTATCCAACAGCAGAAGTTTCTTGGTGTGTATGTACTGTATTGTTTCCCCCCCCCCCCCCCAATTTATTTTGAAACGATTGCAATTCTTTTTGTGCAGGATTGTGGAAATCTACAGCAGAAGACTTCAAGGTACTGTTCATTTGAAAACTATTGATTTTCATCTCCCCGCAGAAAGTGCTGCAGACGGCCTCCAGACATTGCTGTGTCTCAACACATCAGTCGTTTAATTGCTCTCCTGGTCTAAACCTAAAACTTGGTTTTCCAAAAATTTCTAGCCTCAGCTTGGCCCAATACTTTAGCGCTCCGAGATGCCGTCTGCCGTGAAGGACGCTATGCAAATGCAAGTTGTTGTCATTACAATACAATTCATACAACAACAACAACAAGATTCCATTTATAGAGCGCCTTTCACGTCAGGAGGACGTCCCAAGGCGCTGATACAACACTTATATAGCGCCTTTCACCTTGGGAGGACATCCCAAAGTGCTTGATGGTGGCACTTGCGTCTGTGTCAAAGGTTGTGGTTTAAGCCCCGTGGTCGGACTTGGGCTCGCAGTCTATGCTGATGCTCCAGTACAGCACATACACATTGTCAGAGATGCTGTTCATTAAACCGTAGCTTGTTTTACAGTCGTGGACACTAAGGATCTCATCTATATTACAGAAAGGAGTTTCTCTTGGTATTCTGGCCAACGGCTCATTGCAATTCACAAAAGCAATGCTGTGTTTACTTACTTTAATAAAACAGTTACAGCAAGAGCAGCACTTGTAAAGCATGACGAGGCTTTATGACTTGATAAGCAATATACAAATGAAAGTCCTTTCTCCCTTGAAACAATAATCTGTCAAGGCGCCTTTTAAAATTAGTTTGATCGGAGCAAATTATTTGTTTCTTTGTCCGTAGCCTCGAGCTTCGAACAGTCATGAGAGCAGAGATTTGTGTGGTTAGACATGCGTCAAGTGGAAGTATTCCAGGGTTTCGTGCCTCTTGGTAACTTGCAACTGTTTATAAATTTCCGGTGTACTTTTAATAATTCAGTTGTATTGACATATTCACGACTGTCAGCGAAATGTAATAACAACAACGTACATCTGCACAGCGCCTTTTCACGTCAGGACGTTCCAAGGCCCTGGACAGTCAGGGATCTGCACCCGAGCTGGCGGTCGTGATCAGGAGGGGTGGAGGGCGGGGAGGGTAGGGGTAGGAGGATGACCAAAGGCACGGTCGAAGAGGAGGGTGTTGAAGGAGACAAGGGAGGGAACGAGGCAGAGGGACTGTGGGATGGAGTTCCAGAGGATGGGGGCAGAAAGGCTGATGGCCAGGCCTGCCAATGGCCCTAATGTTCTTGTTACCTTTCCCTACTCCAGTTCAAGAACGTCTAACCAAGCAAATTGCTGCAGCCATTACTGAGGCTTTGAAACCAGCCGGAGTAGCAGTTGTAATCGAAGCAACGTATGTTTATTCTTATTTTATTATAGACGTCATACAACGTTCTGTACTATAGGTTATCGGCGCAGGTTATTTGGAGCTGGTAGTTTAAATTTCAGGATTCTTTTGTGCTGATGACAATAGCTTTTCGAAATGATATGTGACATCCGAACAGTTGCCAATGGTGAATGCATTCATTTGGAATTAAACTGAACTGATCATATATTAATTTGACATTAATGGATACCAATTAACATGTACTAATAGGCATGCAGATGTTTTATAAAATGTTCATGATTCTGACCCATATATTCGGCATTTTTTCTCCGAAACATTTTTCGACATTTTAAATTGTATTCTTACGTTTAGGAAAATAAAACTTTCAACGGTAACCCGTGTTTGCACACTCGGTTTGCAAAGCCTGATTGACGTACGTGGGATTATTACACAATGTGTCGCTCAGTCCACTGGATGATGCAAGACGTGAAAGAGGATTTCTTAATGAAACAGAAGTCAACCTTTTAAAGCAGTTAACAGAAGTCTACTGCTAATGTTTTATTGACATATAACATAAAACGTGGAGCCTGGAGCTCAGCACTCGCCTCGCAAGCGAGAGACCCGGGTTTGATTCCCGGGCAGGGCGAAACTTTGGGCAAGTTTCCTCACTCCACACGCCTCTGTTGACCTAGCAGTAAGTAGGAACCCAGTTGTTAGTCGAACGGCGGATCGCTTTTCTGTGGGTAATAATCCCTTAAGAAAATAATAAATTGGTCACTCAAACCACGACCGACTGCCAGACACTGTTGTGTGTAATTAGCTGCTGCGTTACGTCCACAAAAATATACAGTCAATCCATTTTACAGCCTATCATGCGAAGCGCTTTGAGGCGTCTCGAAGACGTTGAGAAGGCGCTCAAAGACGAGGTTTATTCTTATAAAAAGGAGACTGTGGTTTCAACAGGGATTTGGAATAGTTTGGCACTGACTGAAATGTTTCTTACAGGCACATGTGCATGGTGATGAGAGGTGTGCAGAAAATGAACAGCAAGACGGTGACCAGCACTATGCTTGGAGCTTTCCGTGAGGATCTGAAAACACGGGAAGAATTTCTCACGCTGACCAAGTTTTAGACAAACGTAAGAGTCTGTCCGTCTCCTCTTGGAACCCGCAGACCTGCCCTGGCATTAATTAACGGTCACATTCTGCATCCGAGGTTTTACGAGGCAATAATGACTCGTGTCGATTAAAATGCTGACTGTAGAGATCAAGGCACTCAGTTAGACTGGAGGGCTTACGCGTCGCCGGGATACTACGGAGAAATAAAGTCGTCGCGTTTCATTTATGTTTCATTTTAGTAAGCGAGAAAAATACATCATTTTAATCCCTGTGTGTCATGACAGTGTTTTTTTTAAAACAGAGCGATTGGCTAACCACGCAAGCGTATTGGCACAAGGATTTTTTTTTTTTGGTAATCAAAACATGTCGATTTCATTCCAATTTGGAGAGTTTTAATTTGAAGAGGGAAACGGCAGAAGCAGAGGGGGGAAAAAAAAACTTTTCAATCCGTGCAACGTCAGGTTGATGTTGATGGGCATGATTTGACCAGTCAGGGAACCACTATCGACAGCTAGTCCAGACAACGAAGTAGGAAATCAACTACAACTGACGACCAAATTCGTCAGATTATTCTTTTTTTAAAAACAACTCTCATAACAGAAAAGTTTGACGAGGTTTGTTTTGTTTAATAAAGTGGAGAGGAGGTTTTTTGTTGCTTTCAAGTCGCGCCGAAATGCACAGAGTACGCATGGCCTTTAAAAATACGTTTACGATGCTTTACAGTAAATCCTGTGAAGGGCTTTAAAGACATTCTCCCGATGTGAAAGACATTGATATCAAGTGCAAGGACGATTATTAATAATTGTGTGATTTATCTGTCCGAGGTAACAATTCTGTGAATGCTGTGCTTGAGGAATGTTTCCCCAATATATCGATTTTTAATCACTTCCAAAGCCCCAAATCCGCTCTCTCATTTATGTTGTACGGTATAATTGTTAACAGATTTAGGTCAGGGTCGAGGGTCTGTAGTTCCAGGTGGTTTCCCAACCTTCTGGAGGTTGAAACATCACCTATTTCCTTACGGAGAAACCTTTCTCCCAACGTCGAGTGGGTTCAGTCCCAAATCCAGAATTGAGAACAGGTTTTGAAAGCACATTTTAACTCAGTTTTCTGGTCTTGTGAGACTTCTCACCGGTGGTATAGGCTGCTCGCACACTTGAGAATAACTTTTGAGACCTGCAGTTGATGCCGTTGTCCTTTTTTTTTAAATGTACGTGCAGATCGGGGGGGGGGGGGGGGGGGGGGGGGAGGGGAGCGGGGGTGGAGAATCGGGCTTCAAAAATATATTCCCAGCTGTCTGTGCGTCTGTGCAGTGATTCCACCCCATTTCACCCCAAATTGTTAAATCAAATTACACCAAAATAAATAAGGGGTCAGCCTGGCTTAGTTGTTAGCCCGGTTGCCTTTTGAGTTAAAGGTTTGTGGGTTTGAAGCCGGTGGGTTCAAAACCAACATGATTAGCATTTGAGACTGGGATTTGGCTGAAACTGCAGTGCAGAGGATGTGCTGAACTGTATAAGGTGCTGTCCTTTAGATGAGACGTTAAATCACGTCTACTCATTCCTGGCGGATGTAAAAGGATCCCAAGACACTAGCTGAAATGAGGAGATTCTCCTAGTGCCCTGGTCCATCAATCCTCCAGAAACATTAGTTGTTTACTTCATGGCTGTTTGCAGGATCAGTTTGCTGTGCACAAACTGCAGTCATTTGTACTTCACAGCAATTTTCCTGTGAGGTATTTTGACGTGACAGGCACCATAATAATAATAATAATCCTTGCATTTGATATAGCGCTTTTCACGTCGGGAGGACGTCCCAAAGCGCTTCACAGAACACACTGTAAAGTGAATTGACTGTGTATTTGTGGGCGAACGCGGCAGCCAATTGCGCACAGCGATGTCCCACAAACAGTGGTAGATTGAAAATGGCCAATTTATTATTGTTTTTATATCAAAGATTTACAGCTTAATTTGTTGTTTAAGGCTTGCGCTTAAGAACGCTTCAAAACATATCCGATGCTTCTTTTTACGTAATCCTATATTTATCGAAACAAGTGTACTTTGTATAAAGAAAACGGGAGAGAACATCCAGTCGTTAAGTATCTCAAAGGGAGAAATCGGTTTTGATTTTGGTCCAAATGAAATTATTCATTCAGCTGCTGCTGGAATTGTGGCTTGAGTGAGACTCCCAACTTAGGCCTTTTTTTTTTACAACTGGCTTTCTGCTTTGGATATGTACCTACACAAGCTGGGATTTTGGTCTTACAGCTGGGGAAGGAAGGAAAGGATTGCTAGTATTTTCTGTGTGTATAACTGCGTACTGTATTTATCAATTTATCCATACACTGTCGATCTAACAGAAACCTCTGCACAATCAGCACAATCGATACTATGACTAGGAATCTTTGGCTGCGCATTTTTATTGTGAAGAAAAAAAGATTCAAAGGCGGTCAAGCTGGTGCTCTAATCCTAGAATAAGAGGGTACTTTACATTGTGGCCTTAATGAATGCGTGTGTATCATGTAAAATGTTTCCTCTCCCCCCCATATTCTAGTCCCTTTAAACATTTCCTACCATACTTTCAAAGTTTTATATCAGTCTCCTGTTGATGTGACAAACATGTTATATTTGTAAACTATTTTTTAACACTTGCTCACTCCAAACCCAGTCGCAAATATTTCATTGCGTGGCATTATACCATTTGCCCTGTAGGGCAAGTGAATCATAAAACAAAATAACTTAATATTTTTAAATATATGGTATCAGGGGTGAGGTGCAGTGGAAACCTCCTTCCGGGTACCACAACTGTGACGTCTTTGCTTTAACCTCAACATCAGAGGTTTGCTTGAGAGAGAGACAGACAGACACAGACAGACAGACTTCCGATTTAGACCTGAGTTTTCTGCTGTGGTTATGTACCTACATAAACTGGGATTTGATCTACTCAAATGCATTTCACTTCCATCTTTAATAGCTAGCAAAGGGAAGGGGAAAAGAAAACAGCAAACTCATTCCATCAGTGTGGGCTGAATAAGAATTTGTCTGAATTAAAATCTACCGTGTTGGTTCTGTGACTTGCTTTATAAAGGTTTTTTTTGGAATTATTTGATATCGATTTCTTCCTGGTCTGAACCACCGAGCGATCTGACCTCGAGGTTGAATTTTCTTACGAAATCGAAAACATTTCCAACACTGCGACTTGGCTGATCTGCTTAGACGAAGTCAAGGTGTGAGAAAGAACTGGTCAGTTTCTCTTCCTCTCGACAAAACGATTTGGCTAAAACAGAAAAACGGATCTCTGGCTGGGAAAGACTGTGCATATCAAAGCCAACATTGTCTTTGCATTGCACAGTCCTTGAAACCAAGAGGTAGAATGAAGGTGCTAAGTCCCTGCTCGGATAGGTTTTGTGTGGAGTGTGGAAGCAACGGGCTGGATGGACCGATTAACCACATTTTTCTTTCAAAGCCTTCGTATATTACCATCGTAGCTGGCGATAAAGTGATACAATATTGTTCACTCTTTTTCTTGTGTGTTAATTACAAGAATGCTCATTGGTCTCTGCGATTAAAACTCCACCTAGGGAAACTAATAGTCTACATGTAGGATAAAAGTATCCAATGTCTTCAAACTTTCCAACTTCTAGTTGCTGTTCACTGTTTAGCTCTTCTTGAATTGAATAAAAATATTGAAAAATAGTTTGATTTCGTATTTCATGGTTATCATAACTTGGATACTTTATCCTTTTGAGTATTTGGGACACTGCATCTTCCTCACAAGTGGGATATAGTGCTGATTAAAAGCAATACTGCTCAGTATCATGCAACAGGGTCAGACTCCTGTCCAAGGGAGGTGGGCAAGCAAATACTCTGAGCAGGCAGGAGGAAGCCACACAGGGCTGAGCCAGTTTGTCACTTCCTAGAGACAAGTCGCAAGAGGTCTCCACAGCAGACCGGGAGGAGTTTACGTGCAATCCACTGAATGACGTCCCCTTCCACCCAAAAAATACCATTCAATTACTAATCCAGGTCTTACCAGTGGCATCAACCTGTGAAGACAATTTAGGGTGCACTCAGCCACAACTTCTCAATAATCCATCTCTGGAATTTCCACGTGTAGGTGCGATGCCTGGAATTCTGTTTGGTGCGGATGCTTAAGCATGGTGATGGGTTTCCGCCTGGCTGACCAAACAAATTATTCACGTGAACACTGACTGCCACCTTGTGACACTTCTGAACACTACATTCTGCAAATTCGGAAGCTGTTAAGAAAACATTTGACGCGTTTACTGACATGGGACAGTGCAACATTAATAATAATAATAATAATAATAATAACGCACGCGATGCAGCTTCCAGCTTTTGCAGAGAACTTATCATGTAAAACCCATTGCGCTGTACAAGCTTATAGACTAAAACACAGCAACCTTAAAAGTTGCAGTTCACACCTTGAAGGACTACTGTGTGGTAGATGAAAATTCTTATTATGGTGAACGCTCTGAATTAGGAAGTGTAGCGTTCTGGACTAAGCTTTCACCAAATATTGTGCAAAAGAAATAATTTGGCCACTCAAACCACGACTGTTTGCGGGACACTGCTGTGCGCAATTGGCTGCCGTGTTTCGCCCACAAAATATCGTCAATTCACCTTGCAGTGTATCCTGTGGAGCGCTTTGAGGCATCTCGAAGACGTGCTAAGGATTATTATTATCATTGAATGATGATCATCGTGCTATATAAAAAAACTTGCTATGCAAAAAGTAGGAAAGGATAACCGCATTCATTATCTTAGTTATAAAGCACAGTACATAAAGCAAGAAACAAGAAATCGCCATTCGGTCCATCCCAAGACTAAGTACCTCCGACATGAACGGCACTACATAAACATAAAGGTGTAAAATTTGTATTGTATCAACACCACTTCTTCCAAATACCATTTAAAACTCAACCGATGCACAATAAATACCTCCGTTGTCCTGGGGAAAATGTGGACAAGTCTCATTCACTATTTCATTCAGATCAAAAAAGGTTCTTCAAATAGCTACCTCCTAATCCAAAGAATTCACATTACAGGATCATCTGTCATGAGAGGAATTTAACAGTAATCAGCAACCTATAGTGGTGGTATAAGGCTTAACTGAGTGTACCTCTACCAGATAATGTACATCAAATTTCAACATACTACCAACATAATAAATGTACTACTACTGGCAACGTTTTTTTATTTATATTTTAATGAAACATGGGCACTAATAAAAACTACAAAGCAAATAAATCTTTATTCACAATTTACTTTCTACAGTAGAAATATACATGGACTTTGCGCTATGTCAAGTGGAGGTCGGTTACTGTACTCACTGCACATCGCAGCTAGACACTTTGAAGACCCGCAGCATCTTAATCCCCATCCCGCCCCTACCTCTGGAATTCCCTCAGTTCATTTTCAGGCGTCTTTATACAGATGTCTGCTTGTAGTTCTTAGTGTCCAAGATTTTCTTGCCACACATTGCACAGATGCCTGCGATAAAGAAATAGGCCATGTTTAATGTTTTACGGTCCACAGATATAGTGCAGTAAAATACCTCTGTTCACTTTGTGTATTTTTTAAAAAAATGTATACTTTTCTTGGACATTAGTACCCTCGATTCTGATCGAGCATCACAGCAAAAAAGCGTTAACCTGCCTTTGAGTTGCTGATATGAATTACCAGCATTTTCTGCTTTTATTTCAGGTTCTCGTTTTATCTCGTGCCCAATACTCACCTTTTTTATATGCACAGCCTTGACAATAGTTGGAACCAGCCTGATGGACTGAACTTTTGCAGATTCTGCATATCGCAAATCTCCTCCTTCCGTAGGGTTCAAACCTGAGAAGGGGAGAAGAAAAGAAACATTTATCTAAAAATAATTATTGATATTTCAAAATATAGCGGGCTTACATTACATGCTTAAGGATTGCAAAAATAAAATAACTTAAATCAAATACAACTTAAGGTGACATTTCCATTACTGTATGAATACATCCTGCTACTCACAACTTTGTACATATTTTTATCCAGAGGGCAACTAAAGACTGGAACAGATGATGAGAGAAGGTGGTTCAAGTCAGGATAAATGCGAGACAAAAATGTATAGTGTTGTGCACAACGTTTTAAATAAAACTAAACTAATATATATCAAAGTGCCCCTAAAATCATGTATCTAACATCACAAACATGGACAGGAACAGCTCCAAAAAAGGTTCTAACCGAGCCCTATCCCCAAGACTTTAATGGAAAGTAGATTTGAGGAAGTTGTATCTTTGTGTTTGGTACAATATCTACAACACTGAAACATCTCAAAGCACTTCACGACCAACTGCTGTCAGATGTACTGCCCATGTACTTGGAGGCAAGTAACACAGCTATAAACTGAACGATGAGGTCACGACACCAGGAGAGCCTCCCTTCCCATTTCTAAGTGTCCTGGGAACTCTTAGTGTTTCCCTGACGAACAGCAGACTCAATTTAACAACTCATCCGAAAAGAAGACCTCTGAAATACAGTGCTCCTCCTGTCCTTCACTAGAGTGTCAACCTGGTCTGTGCACACATGTCCTTGTGTGCTGCTTCAGCCCACATCTGAGAACCAACTGCTTTAAGTCATGTCTCTGAAAATATACACCCGCTACGGTTGTTCGTGGAGCTTCACATTCATTAAAAAGAAACGATCACAGGCACTGTATCAGTACGTTCTGAAATCTATTCCCTATTCTCACAGACTAATTCGATCAATTTAAAATTTCATCCAAAGCACGGGCACGTCTCCTAATCCCCTATCAACCCGCCCGCTCCCTCCACTCAGCCGGCTCCCGCCGGCTTCCCGTCCCCCGCCTCGCCCGCCCCACCGTCGGCAGGTGGGACCTTCAGCCTATGTCTAACCCTGCCCTCTGGAAGTGCGTCCCGCAGACCCTCGGCCTCGCCAGCTCCCTCGCCGCCTTCGAGACTCGTCTCAAGCCCCTCCTCTTCGACCGCGTCTTCGGTCACCCTCCTACCCCCTACCCTCCCTTGCCTCTCAGCCTTCCTGATCCCAACCACCAGCTCGGGTGACGTGAAAGGCGCTGCGCGAATGCGTCGTTGCCTTGAGGGGAAAAAAAAAAATGTGCACCAACCTCGAGGATTTAGAAGTCAGAGCTTTGTTTTCGTTTATCCTCCGACCGCCACTTTCTAGATCAATGATACCCGTCGAAAGGTTAGTTAGGACAGAATCTTTTTTGGGGGGGGGGGGGGATTTGAATTTTTTTTAAATAAAAAGAGAAGAGAAACGTTCGGCTAAACTCTGGCCGCGCCACAATCTAATCGCCGCGTACCAGTCGTGTTCCTCGATCCATCTTTCCAAGTGTCCGGAGTTATTACCCTTCCCAGCTTCTTCTCACCTGCAAATTTTGACATCAATGCGCACAAGTGACACAGGGACACAGCACAGGGGGGGTCACAGCGGAAATCACGCGGCGGCTTCTCGCGCAACGCAAACCTTTCGATTAAAAAAAATAACCCCAAAAAACAACTACTTTTTGTAAAACTCTGCGCTCATCTTCTCTCTCTCTCTCTCTCTGGGTGACACAGGTCCATCTTTCTTTCTTTCTTTCGTTCCCTCCTTCCCCCTGTCCCTACCGCCTCTCCTTCCCTCCTCTCCTTCGCTACTTCCTTCCTTCCTTCCCTCCTCTTTCCTTCCTTCCTTCTCCTTCCCTCCTCTTTCCTTCCCTCCTCTCTTTCCCTCTCTCCCTCCTCTCCTTCCTTCCTTCCTTCCTTCCCTCCCTCCTCTCCTTCCTTCCCTCCTCTCCTTCCTTCCCTCCCTCCTCTCCCTCCTTCCTTCCTTCCCTCCTCTCTTTCCCTCTCTCCCTCCTCTCCTTCCTTCCTTCCCTCCCTCCCTCCTCTCCCTCCTTCCTTCCTTCCCTCCTCTCTTTCCCTCCCTCCCTCCTCTCCTTCCTTCCCTCTCTCCTCTCCTTCGCTACCTCTCTCCTTCCCTCCCTCCCGTCCCCTCCTCTGACCACACTCACAGTTCTCACACACCATCCCTGCTCAGGGAGGAGGGAGCAGGGCGGGGGGTGGGTGGGGAGGGTCGGGCGGGTGTTTGGGGTGAGTGGGGAGGGCCGAGTCTCCTCTCCGGGGAAAACACTCTCACTTCCGGCGACAGAGGTCACTTCCGGTTCAAAGGTAAAAGGTAGCCCGGGCTGTGATTGGCCGGAGCTGCCGCGGGGGGCGGGGCGGGGGGCGGGGCCAGGCCTCTGGCCCAATGGGGTGTGAGCTCATGGCTCTGTGTTTTGATTCAGACCCCAAATCCCCCAAAACATCACAACATAGAACACCACCTCCTCACCCCCTCCACCCTCACCCCTCCCCCTCCATCCTCACCCCCTCCATCCTCACCCCCTCCTCACCCCCTCCATCCTCACCCCCTCCATCCTCACCCCCTCCTCACCCCCTCCATCCTCACCCCTCCTCACCCCCTCCATCCTCACCCCTCCTCACCCCTCCATCCTCACCCCCTCCACCCTCACCCCCTCCATCCTCACCCCTCCATCCTCACCCCTCCACCCTCACCCCCTCCACCCTCACCCCTCCATCCTCACCCCTCCACCCTCACCCCCTCCATCCTCACCCCTCCTCACCCCTCCATCCTCACCCCCTCCACCCTCACCCCCTCCATCCTCACCCCTCCTCACCCCTCCATCCTCACCCCCTCACCCCTCCACCCTCACCCCTCCATCCTCACCCCCTCCATCCTCACCCCCTCCACCCTCACCCCCTCCATCCTCACCCCTCCTCACCCCCTCCACCCTCACCCCCTCCACCCTCACCCCCTCCATCCTCACCCCTCCTCACCCCCTCCATCCTCACCCCCTCATCCTCACCCCCTCCATCCTCACCCCTCCTCACCCCTCCATCCTCACCCCTCCTCACCCCCTCCATCCTCACCCCTCCTCACCCCCTCCATCCTCACCCCTCCTCACCCCTCCATCCTCACCCTCCTCACCCCTCCATCCTCACCCCTCCATCCTCACCCCCTCCATCCTCACCCCCTCCATCCTCACCCCCTCCATCCTCACCCCTCCTCACCCCCTCCATCCTCACCCCCTCCCCCTCCATCCTCACCCCCTCCCCCTCCATCCTCACCCCCTCCCCCTCCATCCTCACCCCTCCTCACCCCCTCATCCTCACCCCCTCCATCCTCACCCCTCCTCATCCCTCCATCCTCACCCCCTCCATCCTCATCCCTCCATCCTCACCCCCTCCATCCTCACCCCTCCCCCTCCATCCTCACCCCTCCTCACCCCCTCCATCCTCACCCCTCCTCATCCCTCCATCCTCACCCCCTCCCTCCCTCCTCTCTCTCCCCTTCTCCCTCTCCCGCCCTCACCCTCTCTCCTCCCCCTTTCCTTCCCTCCTCTCCACTGCTCTGTCATCCATCAGCGCCTCGGGACGCCCTCCCGGCGCTGCGCACAAAGGTGATCTCGTGTTGTTGCGGTGGTTGTGGCGCGGCCCCCGTCACGTGACTCCTCCCTGTCCCGCCCCCCCTCCGCCTCACGGGGCTGCACCGCGCACGCGCGGATCGCGAGGCGGCACCCGGATGGCCGGAAGTCCCGCCCCCATTCGGCGACTAGCCAATCAGGTTTCGGCGACGGGGGGACGGAAACGTCTTCTGATTGGTCGGCGGCGCTGCCAGTGAGGGCCGGTCAGGCGCTGCCTTCCGGTCGCCCCCTGTCGCTGGTCTCGGGGGGGAGAGGAAGGAGTCCATGGCCGCAGGAGGTTTAAACCCACCCACAGGCCAGAGAGAGAGAGTGTGAGAGAGTGTGTGAGAGAGAGAGAGAATAGGGAGAGAGAGAGTGAGAGAGAATAGGGAGAGAGAGGGAGTGAGAGAATAGGGAGTGAGAGAATAGGGAGAGAGAGAATAGAGAGTGAGAGAATAAAGAGAGTGAGAATAGAGAGAGAGAGAGTGAGAGAACAGGGAGTGAGAATAGAGAGTGAGAGAATAGAGAGAGTGAGAATAGAGAGAGAGTGAGTGAATAGGGAGAGGGAGTGAGAGAATAGGGAGTGAGAGAGGGAGAGAATAGAGAGGGAGAGAATAGAGAGTGAGAGAATAGAGAGAGTGAGAATAGAGAGAGAGAGTGAGAATAGAGAGAGAGAGTGAGAGAATAGGGAGAGGGAGTGAGTGAATAGGGAGTGAGAGAATAGAGAGAGAGGGAGAGAGAGAAGGGGAGAGAATAGAGAGGGAGTGAGAGAATAGAGAGGGAGAGAGAGAATAGAGAGAGTGAGAATAGAGAGGGAGTGAGAGAGAGAGAGCGTGTGAGAGAATTAGAAAGAGAGAGAGTGAGTGAGAGCTGAGAGTGAGAAAGAGAGAGGGAGTAGAGAGAGAGAGGGAGTGACAGGGCCCTCGAGGTGTCGGGGGGACCCGACGTTGGTTCGAAAGTATTTCGAATAATTGTTGGCAGAAACTTGTCAACAATATCATAACAACAACAATACTAATAATTATAGTACAATTATTACAATAATCTTTGCATTTGATATAATTTCCCTTATTTTTCCTGGGTCCAGTTTCATTGGAACCATCGTTTTATCTGGATGCCAAACTGCCCCCTCTCCCCCCCCCCCCACCACCCTAACCCACCCTCTCTCCCCCTCCTCCTCCCCCTCCTCCAAACAAGCGCTAGATTTTAAGTGTTGAGCGAAAAATAAAAGGCTGAATTATGAGGGATTTGGAGCTGAGGGGCATGGTCTCCGCCCACTGCACCCTGATCCTCGCCCTCCTCTCCGCCACCTTCGTGACCCCTTTGATTCTCGAAGACTTTCACCTGATAGGAACCCACCTGGTGTGGCTGTGCGTGTGCTCCGCCAGCGTCACTGCGGTATCGGTCATCTTGTGTTTAGCGCTGGGAACGAGCTCCGTATCCAGCAAAAAGAACTTTAGTCAGAAGGTAAGCCCTCTAGACTTTGACATTGAATACCGTACGGTGCCTTTATTTTAAAAAAAGAGTTCTTATTGTATGATTGATCGCTCTCTTGCCCCCCCCCCCCTCCCCCTTTTTTTTTGCAGGTCACAAAAGTCTTTAGGTCGTGTGTTCTCTTCTCTGTTTCCTGTCTGGTGTTTCATGGAATCATTGTTTTATACGGAGCCCCTCTGCTAGAGTAAGTACGTAAGCAAACTCTGGAGCATTCTCAAAACGATCGAGGTCAGCGATCGGAGTCCTGTGGCTCAGTGGTTAGAGCACTCGCTTCGCAAGCGAGAGACCTGGGTTCAATTCCAGGCAGGGAGAAACCTTGGGCAAGTTTCCTTACTCCACACTCCTAATAATAATCCCTCCAAAACCCAAAACAATAATAAATTGGTCATTTTCAATCCACGACTGTTTGTGGGACAGTCGCTGCTGTGCGCAATTGGCTGCCGCGTTTCGCCCACAAATATACAGTCAGTTCACTTTACAGTGTGTTCTGTGAAGCGCTTTGGGACGTCCTCCCGACGTGAAAAGCGCTATATCAAATGCAAGGATTATTATTATTATTAAGCGCTTTGAGACGTCGAGAAGACGTGAAAAGTGCTGTATCAAATGCAAGGATTATTATTATGCGGCCATCACTTCTCTCTCTTACCTTCTCCTCTCCAACTTATTACAAGTTGATGAGGGAGGAAGGATCTATAGGGTATGTGGGGGGAGGGTACTGAAATAAAATCATGTATATGCGATTTGAACAATTTTGAGAAACTAAAAATACAAAATATAATGGCGCATTTACATAAATTGCTTTCAATCTGACAGGCCTTGTTAGAAGTTCCTGGTAAAAATTCCAATAGAACATCACCTATAGTATGAGCTATTCCTGCAACAGTGGAAAGTGGTTATTTCTGGGGGGGTTAGTTAATTAGTTAATTTGAACGAGTCGAACACCTTATTGGCTTTTTTCATTTTTGCCTTATGTGGGCCCATTACCGTATACAAATGTAGAATGAGAGCACTGCATGGCCAGTGTGCAAATGGAAGAAAACATTTCGCCCACAAATATACAGCCAATTCACTTCAACATCTATTCTGTGAAGCACTTCGAGACGTCTCGAAGACGTGACAAGTGCTAAATCAAATGCAAGGATTATTATTATTAAAACGTTAGTTAAGAAAAGGATAATTTGGAACCGCTCTGTGGAAGACAAAATATTCTTAAAGTTTGAGAAACCCGTTGTTCCACCTCTAAGAAGCAAATTTTTTGCACAGAGTGACATATGATGACTTCCCCGGATGAAAACATTTTCAAATTTGCACCCAATGCTTTTACGACAGTGCTGTATTAATAATAATAATAATACTTGTATTTGATATAGCACTTTATCACGTCGTTGAGACGTCTCAAAGCGCTTCAAGAATATTGTTTGAAGTTCAACTCTTCTGACGAGATACACTGACCTGGCTGTGTCACTGTGATCAAATAAAAGCTAATGTCCTGGTTAACAATCCCCAGATAGAAATTAGTCATTCACTTCACGGCTATGAAGCGCTTTGAGATGTCTTTACGACACAATAAAGTGCTACATCAGATGCCAGAGTTTGCTTTGGTCCACAAAGCCAAGTTTTTAATCTTGTGTAGATACTTCATTTCAGTAGCCCGGATGAAAACTACAGTATTAATACAATTCTATCAAATTGTACCTCGTCGGAAAGATGTTGCTGACCCACGTTTTGCTGTAACATACGTTATTTAACTATTGTGTTTTTTTTTGTGACGCACCAAAGATTACAAACTGGTTTCTGTATTTTACAGGTCCTTGTGGGAGACCTTTTTGTTTGCAGTTCTGCTCTCTACCTTCACCACACTTCGCTGTCTCTGTTTGCTGGGGCCCAGCCTTCACGCTTGGATTCGGGTCTTCAGTAAAAATGGGTAAGCCAGTACAGGGTGGGTGGGTCCTCATGTAGATTCACTTGTAAGTTTGTGTGTATGTGTTCTGGATAATCCTTTCTTTTTTTTTTACGCCGTCTATAATGTTGATGATTCTCACAAGGGGTTTGCAGCATAGAAGCAAGAAGCACGGAGACTGCATTTGTAGGTAACCATAGCAGCAAGTTCAATCCAAATCCCCACAAACAACAGTGACAACAACAACAACAACAACATACAACATTTTTTTGTTTGTACTCAGACATTTTTGTGGGTAGATATGGGGGTCAAGTGGAAGTATTCTAGGAATTCGCCCCTCTTGGTCACTTGCAACTGTTTATAAATTTCAGATATACTTTTACTACTTAATCATGACCGTCGTCGAGATGTAATAACAACAACAAATTACATTTGTATAGCGCCTTTTCAGCTCAGGAGGTCGTTCCAAGGCGCTGGACAGTCAGGGATCCGCAATTTAACGAGAGGAATGTTGGCAATTCTCTTTTTGAATAGCGTGAGGGGATTTTTTTTATGTCCCATCTTCTCACCTCAAGAACCACCAAATATGCACACACACCCAAAACTGCACTGCAGTATCAGCCGAGACTGTAAATTCAAGCGTTCCAACTGGGGAAAGCTGCTCGGCGGCGAGAGCGCTACCAACTGAATCCAGATCATAAATTTATCTAAACAAGGAAACGATTTATCCAAAACAGTTTATAGGTGGGTATCTGCAGTTCTTTCTGTAGATTGCCAGTGCATTTATTTTTAACTGGAGAGTAAATGAGTCCCATTTGTGGTACTTGAAAGTATTTGGTTTACGTGAATTCAGCTTTGTGGGTCTTTTCGTGTTGTAATTTCATCCAAAAACCACCAGGTGCTGCTCAACCATACAAATGCCGTGAACAAGAAACCATAACAATCCTCGCAATTCGATGCAGCACCTTATCAGGTTGTCGAGGCGTCGCAAGGCGCTTCACGGGATACACTGTAAAGTGGATTGACGTGTATTTCGTGGGTGAAACGTGGCAGCCCATTGCGCCCAGCGGCGTTCCCCTCCCCCCCCCCCACACACACACACACACACACACACACGCACAGCCGCGGAGTGTGCGACCCAATTTTCTTTCGTTTCTTTTGGAGCATTTGTCGGCCGGGTCACTGGGAGCAACTCTCTCCTCTTTTCGAATGACGGGGAAACTTTTAGGGCCCACCTGAACAGGCGGGACCCTGGTTAGCATCTCACCCGAAGGTCAGCACCTCCGACAACGCAACTGACTCACTCTCAGCGCTGCATTGGCGTCTCAAGTGTCGTTCCGAGCCCTGACGTGGGGCATGAAACCACAACTTTCTAAGAAGCAAACGTGTTACCACTGAGCCAGACTGACGGACAGCACTTTGGCAAGAATTCATGCTTGGATTACAATTCCTGTCGACAAAACAAAGCAATGACCTCAGGCAATTTAATAATTCAACACCAGTGTTATTGAAATGTTTTTTTGAATAGCTGCCACTCATACACAGAAAAGCGAATTTTTACCTCGTGATAAAGCAGTAAAAATATTCAAGTTCTTTCTCTAACAGTATTTGCATATCTTGGCAAATGCTGCTCATTATAGGAGAGGTGGTGTTTTTTTTGGTAACCCGGGTGTCTGTGCTGTTTAAGGTCGTGCTACGAGGTTACGCTGTTTCAGTTCTTTACTGTTCATGCAGAGAAAGAATAGATGTTTGGCAGTGAATTACAATGCAATCAAGAGGTTTGAATGACCTTACAATGTTGGAACGTTAATGAACATTGGAAAGAATCCAGAGATTGCACTCTGTAAATCTGGCCTTTTATAATATGACATTTTATTTTGCACGATGCACTACGTGCGATCAAAGCAACAGCACAGGTGAAAGAGCGATAAAAAGGTAGCTGAGATGCAGGACCCAAAGGTGTCAGATCACAAATGTTTGTTATATCCCAGTATTAATGGGGTTTTTTGCTGCTGATAAGTGTGCAATATAATTAGCAATATCGCAAATGAGTTGTGCCACAGTGCACTGTACATCTCATGCCTCCAGAATACGTACAGGACTTGCCATTTGTGTAGGTAAATCCTCAACCTTACTGCAATTCAAATTATATGATTTGACCCTGGCAGCTCATTGCGCGCTAGGTTGGCTCCTGCCATCCTTGGAAACATCACAGTAAGCAACAAAGCAAATGAAACTGCCTTACAAACTCCAGGTGCACACGGGATTATGTTCACCCTAAATTTGTGAAGTTTTTTTTTGTAAAAGCATTTTTGGATGTCTCCAGATTGAAAAGGCGCTGATCAACCACACACAAGCCAAACTTGAGGGGCTCAGGTTGTATCGTCCGAAAGTGTATGTTACTTGGGTAGGATGGTCCCAGATGGATAAGTAGAATGAAGTTTTTCCAGCGGCACGTGTTAATAAGCTGCGTGGTCATAAGTATGTTGCGCTGGTTCTGGTTCAGTAATACCCCAATTCACACGCGGGAAACTCCTATTGTCCGGGTTTCTTCCAGTATTTCTCTGATTATGGGCAAACGAGGAGAAAAGGAATGTGGACTTCAGAGCCAGCGAACAGAAACTTTGCTTCTGTGAGTTCTCATTGGCCAGAGGTAAAGATAAGCACAGCAAAAGGATTCTGAGCGTGTTAGACTCCCGGCTAAACCAAAAGAAAAGTGTCTTGCAATTTTTTTTAAAAAAACGCACCGTGCTTGACAGCGTTACTTGCGAAGTGCTTTGAGACATTTTGATGTTATAAATCGATTAAGAAAAATGACCGTTCTTTTCTATATCAAAACGTAGACGCTTTGAGGCATCTCACCCACGCGATCTATCAAGTGCAAGGGTTATTTTTATAAACAGTAATGTGTTTAAACGTCAGCACGTGGAAAAAAAAAAATCAACACGATTTCTGTGTCCAGCAGTTAAATTTTATCATTTTGCCTTCCTGGTAAAGGAACGATTTGTAAAGCGATCCCACTGAAGGCGAGATCATTTCTGGGCTGGTGGTGTGGGGGGGGATCGTTGTAAGCCTTTCTACGTTAACATTCTGCTCGTGTCGATAAAGCACGTTTTTTTGCCGGCCGTGAAGTGGAGACTGAGCGGGAATTGACCTTGCGATGATGATTTTGATTGTGCAGGGCCATGTCAATCTGGGATACCAGCCTGCAGATCACAACCGCGTGCAGTATATTTGGAGCCTGGCTCGGAGCAATACCTATTCCGTTGGACTGGGACAGACCTTGGCAGGTACGGAGCTCAAACACTACTCAAAGATGCCACTCGGTGGTCTCCTGTAAATGTCTGGTGTTTAAATGATCAACCCAATGTGTGTGTGTGTGTGGGGGGGGGGGGGGGGGGGAATCAAGTCAACCTTGTGACTTGTAGGGGTTAAGACCTTTCGACTGTTTTCACTTTGGTAGATTAAAGTGAAAAGGGAGACGTCTGGGGAAGCGGTTTCTATTCAAAGCCGCGTTAGAAATTGTCCGTCCTTATAAACTGCTGTTGCTCGTAATCGAATACCTTCAGTTGTCGAGGAGGGTCGGGAGTAATGTGGTATGATCAAGGCTAAGGAGCTGATTACTTCCCGGAACGTCTCGGTTTACTTCGGTGGGGGGTCCGCACTTTGATCTGTGGCCGCCTTTGCTCGGACAAAGCACGGTGCTGGCTGGGTGCTACTGCATGCTCGCTCGTACTCGCTTTGCCGCGGGGCTGCTAGTCTTTAACTTGAAGCTGTTTTCGGGTTGTTTCCATACTTTGTGTGTGTTTCTTTTGGGGTGGGGGGTGGGGGGGAGGGGGGGGGAGTTAAAAATCGTAAAAAAAAATTAAAAATTGAAGTACACGAAAGACACGGGACACCCGCAAGAGAGAAATAAGTTAACGGGGTGACGATGATGGCACTTAAAGTGGAACTTCCCTAATAAGCCACTGAAATGCTGCGATCTGCACTGATGCAGGTTCAAACGCCCTCCCGGAAAACTCGGTGGGGGTGGGGGTGGGCTACAGCGACCAGCTTTTGCGCAAGTCTCTTTCAAACAAGTTTCCTGGGGCAGGGATTGACGGGGATGTCTGCAGGACTGTGCAATGGCTCACGGCGGCTTCACATCACAACGTCGTTGGAACGCACTGTTCGCTTATAGCGTGTGCCTACTGTGGACCCGCGTGTTTCCGGGAAGCACGTTATACGGGAAGCTTGGTACACTTGGCTCCAGTGCCTCCAGCGCGAAAAAGACAAACTTCCGCACACTTGGCCAAGGAAGAAATGGCATCGGGGCTGACGTGATTGACTCTGACGTCTCAAATTTTTTTTGTGTTACATTTTAAGCGGGGGAGTGGGCGGGGGAGGTGGGGGGTGGGGTAGGGGTCTGAGCTGGTAGACGCAGACCCCAAAACAGTCAAATTCAGTCTCGGTGAACAACAGTTTACTGCGTTTTTTTTTAAAAAAAGAAAAGGGTGAATGAAGCATTGTGCTGATCAAGAACAGTGTTGTGAATACTGCAACATTTTGAATTTCCTGCCACACTCTCATGTATAGATTGTGTGAAATGCAGAGTCAACTTCTAATACTAATAATCCTCGCATTCTCAAAGCGCTTCACGGAAAATACCGTAAAGTGGAGTGACTGTGTATGACTGTGGGTGAAAAGTTTCCTTTAAGGCTCCCCCCCCCACCACCGCTCACGCCCGTGAACTCTGAAGGGCATGCGGTGGTATGTGGCATTCCCATTCCCTTACTAGCTGCCTTCATGACAATTTGTTTGCGCATTGGTGCCAGATCATGTTGCGCTATGGACTCGTGCCCACTGCAAAGTGTCGAGGCTAACTTCGCTATGTGTTTGTACAGTCAGCAGAGCGAGAGGGACACTTTCAGTTTGGCTGCATTTAACCCTAGATTCTGAAGCGTGCAAAGTCCCATGAACTCCATTCCTTTTATAGACCATGGAAAACTACTCTATAGCAAACATCACCTCATCCTTTCATGGCAGGAGACATCTCACAGTTGTCTTTTTAGATGATATTACGATAAAATGTCAGGACTTTTGTAGGCAAAGTACCCGATTGAAGCAGTTTTGTCACGCTACTAGATGGAGTTCTCTGCACCATTATGGTATTGTCTGAGAATAAGGAACGCACAGAACCGATTTCAACAAGCAAATAGATGCCTATTCCTCGTGAGACTACAGAGAGCGATATTGTCAGCTTGAGAGAAATCTAATTTGAATTAATTGTATTTAATTGGAATTTCTATTCAGACGAGCATAAGAAATGCGAGATGAAAAAAGACCAAGGTCCATCTAGTTTGCCTTCCACCTTCCTGGAGGTCGCCTGCGCATATGTCCCGAACTACCTGTGTACTATATCCCATAATGTTATTTCCTATAAGAAACGTATTGATATTTTACATGGCGTACTTGAATCCAAAGCGGAGCAGTATTGAGAATTCCATTGTCGTGCAGTGAGTTCATTAGCAACTGTCAAGGGGCCAGGCTTGGGTTATACATCTTTCAAGATTTAATTGCCTTTACAGGATGTGTGTGGCTCTTCCAAATTGTAGGAAAAGCCAACAGCCTACCACATTTCATCGGAAGTGACTAGGCAGAGACAGAATGCTCCATTACCGTAGATGAGCACACACCTACCTCCCCGATAACAAGCTTGCGCTACAAAAGGAACCGTCAAAAACAAAACATTTTTGGTACTTTCCCTGTGCGTGCGTGTGGTTTAACCACTGGAAGTTCGCGTTGAATATTTCTGCAAGAAAAAAACTTCTCATTCTGAAAGAATTATCGTCGCTCGTTTATTATTCCGTTTGACATGGGTTTTCGGGTATCTCGTTTTCTTGTAAGTAAGCCTGCAGATGTTCATCCAGCTTCCTGTAAGAGTTCAACCATGGAGACACGACCTTCTTTAACTCGCGTTTAATTTCTCTTGTAGTCCAGAAGCCAAACATGACTTGAATTATTAATTTGGGGGAACTGTTTTACAAACAATATCAGTCGCATTTAAAACTTCTCTCCCCTAAACACAGCTGTTCTCTATGTGCTTAAAAAATGACAGGGGAGCCTTTCTCATCTGTCATAAGTGAGCTATTCTTTCACCTCTTTAAGTTGTCTCTGTATTTTTATATTCTTAACCTAATTTTCTTTTCCCAACTGTTGTTTTCGTTACTAATTTTCCCAAGTTATTTCCCAACGGTACAGTCACAATTTGGTTTGGTCTCGGTTTACCATATGTTCTCTGCAGGCTGATTACTTTCAAAGGAAGCTACCAATTCCAGCTCACTCAATGTCACTCCTCTTGAGCCCATACAGGGTGCACTTACTTCCCACAGGTGCAAATGGTAAACTCAGACTCACCAGAACAGACAATCGCAAAGTGTGTTCTGTTTCGCTGTCTGACTTCAAGGCCGCTCTCAATGCACCAGTGTCCAAGGTAAGAGCTTTCACAAGATTAGTTTGGATGAAGATCCTTCTGGAACACCCATCCTACCATTCACCCCCATCACAGCATCAAGCTGCTTTTGAATCGAGTCCCAGTGTCCTGGTCAAGAACTGTGTTAACCCGGCGTTGCAGTTAGTTTCATTGCTTCAAGACTAAAGAGGCTCTGAAAAAAATCCACTGCCCTGCACCTTCTTGAAGTTGGTAAAATGGGTGATGAGGCTATGAAAATAATCCTTCTCTGGAGCACAGGTGTGTCTGGCTGTGAAGAGATGAGGAGTAGCCCAAGACCGTGTCGGCAGTTGATGAGAATATCTGGATCACGCGTGAGACTTTTAATTTGTTTCCTGGAAACCATAATTGCGCTTGGCTTTTCATTTTGTCTCGTCGTTGCCTCATACTTTCCGGAATTGGGTAAACAGGATGTGTCCCTCCAGGGAAAGAGTGCGCATTCGATTTCAACAATCTCATCTCTGGAAGCACGAAATTATTCATGTGCCAGACACTCCGCTGACCCCCTCCTCCCCAAAATAGACTTCATTAATTGACGTTCTTCATTGCGCATCGACATATCGTTTATCTTGTTCAAGTACACATTACCTTCCACTCGTCTACATTCATATTCACATCTTCACTAATAGACGTTGTGCGAGTTCATTGTGTATCCACCTGTCATTCTCCTTCTCCGAATTTGCGTTGCCATATAAACGCCCACATTAAAATTCGTCTGACCTAGATTTCTTTGTTTATCTGCCTCGTCCCTGTCACTTAACCAGAGAGATCATCAGAAAAGTTTACACTAAAGTAATTGGAAAATTGAGAAGCAAAATAAAAAAGGGGTCATTTTGTTTGGCCTAATGGTCCTTCCCTATCACAAAAACTATGGGCTTTTTAATGCTCCGCTCAACATCATTTGTAGTGCGAACCGAGGGAAACCCAGAACAGACATCTGCGGAACTCTGCTCGTCGCTGCCCTTCCCTTCCCATAACTCCCTCCCCCCTCGAGCTTTCCCCATTATCACCACCTGCTTTCTATTATCAAGACAGTTTTCGGTCCAACTAATCTGCCATTAATTTCATGAACCTTAACCTCCTTTTACATGCGGAACTCTTATCAAATGCTTTCTGAAAATCATAGTAAATTATATGCACTGGGGCGGCCTCAACCGTTAGTTTAGCCACTGCCTCAAAGAATTCAGTGCATTAGTGAAGCTTGACCTACTGCTCGTGAATCTGTGCTGACTATTCCTTATGGCCTCCGTGTCCTTGTAGGAATATTGATGACATCCTGCATCAGGCTTTCACGTGCTTTCCTAACTACGGCTGTCAGGCTAACTGCTGTAATTTTCCGATTCCAGCCTTGTGCCTCTTTTGTTGAATTCTTGGGATAAAGTTTCATAATAGTTTATTCTGTTTGTGAATAATTAAGTTAAACACATCTGCCATCTTGCGACCCTCCCATTATTTTCCAAGCTATAATTTCCTACAGCTTCATTTACTTTACCTGAACCGTGTTCTACCCACTTGCTTAGTTGGTGATCAGTACTGGTTGGTGTATATTTTTTTTTGCCTATATTGCTGGCATGAGAAACATCAATCTGTACGTCCCACCACCTGCGTTTGCAGACCGTCAACTTAAAATATTAACTGCGAAATGTGAAATAAAATATTTCATCTCTTTGGCAGCAATTGTGCTAAAGACCTCTGGCGAAACATTTTCTTGGTAAATTAGTTCATTCAAGGCCGTTCAAGAAAGTTATTGGCAGAATAAATGTATTCCCTTCGGAGGTGCTTATTAAACACATTTGTTAT